GACATCTGACTGATAGAGGGGCTTGGTAGAAGAGAGTGAGCTTTCTGTACAGATGAAGATTTTCATGGAGTTCTCTTGCTCTGTTTTCAAACCCTTGTCTGCCATGTTCTGTAACCTAAACTGTCACCTCAGACGCGTCTGATTTTAAGCTTTATAATTAAATAACATGATACAGAACATGTTAAGACTAGCGGAAGGAAAGTAATGGGCTGGAGTTCGATTCTCTGCAGGGACAAGTTTTCTTGGCTCTACATCGTCTAGACGGGTTCTGGGGCCCACGTAACTTATATAGGCTTATATAAAAAAAGAATGAGTAGGACCTGAGGTCCTGACAGCGGTGGTTATAAAGAGTACTGTGGTCCGTTGAAAGTCAACTGACGTATGGAAGAACATACCGCCTCCATCTTCAGAGTCGAATAAGCCGAGCAACATACCAGCGTGAAAGCAGATAGCAAGCAGACGACCCTGCAGATGGAGTAAATATGGTTTTCCGAAACGTCGGTTGAATCTCAATGGGCCACACGGCGTTATAGCCCAGAATATAGTACTCTTCAATAGAGAATTATGATTACGGGAAGGCGATATAATTCTACACAAATATAAGTGGGCCTCGAACACGCAGTTGTGAGAGACAAGGCTTCTGCAGCCATGCCCACACCGGTCTGCTGTACTAAGTGTGCGGAGGCAAGAGACATCTCAGATATAGAGAAGAAAGTTACATAGTGTGGGCAAACGCACGAGGAAATATCCTATGCAAATTCACATTTCAATCTAGTCTGAAATTAAGGTCTACTCTCTTTATATTTACAGATATTTCTTATGCGATTCGCACATTACTTATTTACGTCTCTGGAGAAGGTTGCTTTCAAACCGTGGAATGAATATGAGCTGATGATCTCCGTACATTACTCAGGATTCTGCCCCACCTCTGAGATTCGATGCTTCATGTGGAAGTTACGTCGTAATGCAGGCTGCAATGTAGCCTAAATATATCCGTAAGATATCCTCTATAATATCTTCTTCATATTCTTCCTGAACTAATTGCTTTTTATAGGCTTATAAAGCCTGTTTCGTCAGCTCTCATCCACGAATTTACTTTCCATCTCCCTTTTGGACGACTTTTATTTTTTTTCCGCTCGTTGGTTTATAATGCTGTACTAATTTCGCTGATCTGTTTCCCAACATTCTGTGTATGGATCTTTATCTGTTCTTTACAGAGTATTTTTATTGCTATTGGGGTGGGACTAAGTCCCTTGTACTGCGGCCACTTCTGGCCTATTGTGCCCGTCCCAGATGATAGGTGAGGGTGATTGTGGAGCAATAGGTGGAATGGAGATTGCCAGGGGAAACCGAAGTACTCGGAGAAAACCTACCCCCGCGCCACTTTGTCCACCACAAATCCCACTTGACCAGACCCGTGATCGAACCCGGGCCTCCGCGATGGGAAGCCAGCGACTAACCTCTTGAGCTATGGCGCGGGCTTCTTACAAAGTAAAAAAAAAATGGCTTATATGTAAGTCGTGTGTCTACGCGTCCGTCGGTGGCGTAGTGTTACCACCTAAACTGCCGGATATATTGTTTAAAATTCCACATTTGAAACTTAACATTGAACGTTGTCGGGGAAATCCAGTTTTAATTAAGATCAGATAAAAACGTGCATAATTTCTCCGGATATCTAAGTCATAACGCGCTAAATGTTTACAGAAGATCTAAACGATCCAGAGGTAGGGACTAGCTCTATGGATCGGGCCAAACTGAGTAGGTTTTACCTGAAGACGGAGACATAATCCAGTCTCCGAAACGTCGTGTTATAAATAAAGATATGACGATCTATAATATCCAGAAACGCGGAGTTTGTATCTGTACATATTTGTTAAAAGGGGGTACGCGGTAGCGTAGTGGTTGAGGCACTACGCTACAAGCCGGAAGGTCGCGGGTTCAAGTCCCGATGAGGTCATTGGTTTTTTCAATTGACCTAATCCTTCCGGCCGCACTAGGCCCTGGGGTTTACTCAGCCTCTAACAGAAATGAGTCCCAGCCGACTGTCTAGATAATGTGGGACCCTCAACGTCTCACAACCCTATGGGCCTTCACGGCCTGGTACAGGGATAGCTTTACTTTACTTTTTACTTTACATATTTGTTAAAATGAATGAAATTTGTACAGAACAATGAAATGAATTCAGTGCCAGATACGTTTTTATTTCAGATTATACGGATTTCAAGAAACTTATTTTTTGCAGCGTTATCTCGGAACTCGCAACATATTTTGAACTGAATTTGAAAACGTTTTGTACTGGAGGTCTTCGCACAAATTTATCGAAGATTATGTCTCTCCGTCTGTTTGTCGCTCTGTCATTTAGTATCAGCACCCTAACCGCTGGATCTTCTTCTTTTAACTCGAGGGCACTCGTTGAAGTCGTCAGGGAATTCGTATTTCGAGTCATGTTTGACCACATTTAAATCCACTTTACATAAAAAAGCAAATAAACTGCTTCATACATAATATGAAATTTTAATACAATTTTATATGCCAGCCATTCGTAAGTTCAGTAAAGTGGAAAGGCTGTTCGGAAAATTGTGATCACCTTGCTACATTATCTTGTGGCCGCTTTTCCTGATGGTCATGTATGTCTTGATCTCGAAACTTTTCTCTTTTATCTGTACTCTTCCGGTGGTCACATTTTCTAAATCTCAGGCATGGTCCAGGTAAAGTTGTCCCTGCGCTTAATTAACCACTGCGTCATGAAGGCGTATGGGTGAGTGGATGTATAGATCCACATTAACTTGACCTCGGCACCAGTTGGAGGTGAGTGGTCAGTTTGACGCCCCTGCCGCTTAACCCCCGAAAAAATAGACCGAAAAACCTGTCCTCCATTATCCTTCTCTTTATGAAAATTCCGAGTTTCCCGTTGTCTTCTCTAGATACGAGGTTCGCTGAACCTGTCGTCACACAAGACACTTTCCATTTGAAAGCAAGTGCATCCTAACTATACGTTTCATCTCTGCTCTTCCAATGAATATAAATTAAAGGTCACAAGAGTGGTCAGAACTAACATTGTTTCTTCGTATACGGGAGGTCCCGTATACAGATCTCAGCCAGAAAACAAAATATGCTGGCTGAGGATTTTCGTGGCCTATTCTTTATACAAGAAAATTCCGAGGAAGTACTTTAAATGACGCCACGGATGCTTCCATCCGCTTCTTTCCAATTCATTAATCACTAATCACTCTACCATTCTGCCTATGACTCTACAGTCCCGTTGTTAGACCTTTGCTGCTTTTTCAGCTTCTTAATACTATACACAGTTGCTAGGACTCCTCAGACGGGAGATCAGCCCGTCGCAAGGCCACTGAATACACACAGAACAAAACAAACACAGATTGAAAGCAGATATCCATGCTTTGAGTGGGATTCGAACTCACGATACCAGCGTTCAAGCGAGAGAAGACAGTTTATGCCTTAGACGGCGCGGCCACTGCGATCGGCACTCTACCATTCTACATCATAAAACTCTAAACTGGTGGCTATATAAATATAAGAGAGTACATTCTGTAGAGTTACAAACATAATTTACTTTGAAGAAAGCAGTCTTCTGGGATTTGGCACCGTGTATATGTGGTGTTAACCGACGTTTCGGAGGAACGTATCGCGTATGGATGCGTAACGTTCCTCCGAAACGTCGGTTAACACCACATATACAAGGTGCCAAATCCCAGAAGACTGCTTTCTTCATAGTCACCGCCGTGAAAGCCTCAAATCTTACATAATTTACTTTATGCCTAAATAATATTGATGAACTGAAAGTAACTTTACGTTTTTTGTTCCGGCAAACGCCTGACATATTTCGCGAACCACAGTTTGAGAATCACTATTTTATGGTTAGCATTTCTTTGCCACTCGGGGAGAAACAGAATCCCGTCATGCCTTGCGCATCACTTTCCGAGCTAGATGAAAGGACGATAGCAATGACACAGAGAGATGTGATATTCCTATACAGAAGACGCAGCAGTTGTTCAAACGGCGTTCCGGATTCTTGTTCTCTGATATTTTCGTTTCAGACTGACTTTAAAAAGGGCCGCCCACTTTTCCTAACTGGCCACGTTTCGCGTATTCGTGACTCAGGCATGAAATCCAAGACGGAGTGCAATGGCACTATGAGACGAAGCAGAAGGCTGTCTCTACTTGTCTGAAGAATTCAACATATACGGCATGAAGGCTGATTACCGCTTTGAAGCCTGAAGGTGAGAGACACTTTTGGAAGGGGGGTAGAAGAGAACCATTTTGTTGGAATGTTCTCAGGCTTCGCTAGCTGGTCCTTCTGATAAGTATAGTACCAAAAGGAAGACATTAAGATCGTTAGAAATAGTTAATGGGGACAAAGACAACAACATTTCGATTTTCTTAATTAATGATGAATTGCATTATTTCCTTTAAAACATAAGGTTTAAATTTCGATGAACTTAAATACGGAGAGGGCATGTGAAACCCACAGTGGGAACTTTGAACTTGGGAATAAGTTCAATATGGGTTTCAAGACAAAAGGAAAACCAAGAAACTTTGTATGAGTGGCCAGCTTATTTATAGTCAGCAGTCCGACAAACAAAAGAATACAGAGGGAAGGTAAAGGTAAAGGTATCCCTGTAATAGGCCGTGGAGGATACATATGGTTGTGAGACGTCGAGGCTCCCACATTTTCTAGACAGTCGGCTCAGAGATGGCGGTGAGGTTGTTAACCTTATGCGCCGGCCGCCCTTTACCTCCAGGGAGATTCCTGGTACTCATTTCTGTCAGAGGCTTAGTCGAACCCAGGCCCATAGTGCGGCTGGCAGGATTAGGTAAATTGAAAAATCCTCATCGGGAATCGAATCCGCTACCTTCTGGTTTTTAGCGTAGTGACTAAACCAACTAAGCTACCGGGGGCCTCAACATAAAGGTACCCAAACATTTTCCTAACATCTGTTGCTTCCTTTAAAATCTGAATATCGCTTCATACTTACTAATACTGTATGCTGGTAAGTGAACATTTGAATTATATATCAAGGTCAGAGCTGTCGTCAGGGCGTCCCGTGGGCTCTGGATTTGGTCCACCGTAGCGTCTTGGGGCTGCCTGTGGACTGGATTCTCCGGAATTGTTCCTGATGTTTTAACTGCCTGGAATGAGAAATGTTCTGCTCGCATAAGACTTTACTGAAGGTTGAAATATGCCTACATACGTGTAATGTCTGAAATCTCCCTTCCTCCAACATGCAAAATACTCTACATCTGGAAGATTAATATACTCTGGGAGCTACGCCGTGTAGTCTGCTGCCAATCTATATGATCACCGCCGTAGGAACCCCAAATGTCGTACTACATTTCCATTGGAAAAACCAGTAAGTTTACTCAGCTTATTGAAATAATCCGTGTTAATTCTAAGAACAACGCGAAACATATGAGCCGGGATAGCGCAGTAGGTATAGTGACTGGATACGGGATGAACGATAGAGGGGTCTGAGTCCGAGTCCCTGTGGGGGAAATTTTTTCTTTTCTCCACGTCGTCCAAACCTATTTTGGAGCCCACCCAGCCATCTATCCAATGGGTTCGGAGGGCCCTTTCCCCGGGGGTAAAGCGGCAGGGACGTGAAGCTGTCCGCTCACCGCCAACTAGTGCCGGGATCTATACATCCATTCACCCATAAGCCTTCATCGTGTAGTACTTAATTAGTTGAGCACAGGGACAATTTTACCTTTTTGCTTTACCATGCGAGATATATGAATACATTCCGTGAGCAGTGAGTAGAGTTTCTGATCGTTAAAGCTGTTGCTACATATGGTTTCAAATGTCCTATAGAGGACTAAAGAATTCTTTATGTTCCCTGAAACCTCATCCGATACTGATGTCCAACTAATATCACAAACAACAGTTTCAGATATCTGACACAGCGACTTGAAATAGTGAAACTGAATAGAAGACTGACGCTGGTTTCGTAGACAAGGGAAGAAGGACAGAGTGAACGAAAACAGTGGATCGGTATGGCTCAGTCGGTATAGCGACTAGGATATGGGCTCGACAACCGAGGAATCGGGGCTCGATTCCCGGAAGGTACAAGATATTTTTCTCTTCACCGCAGTGTCCAGGCCGTTTATGAGGCTTACCGAACCTCCTATTCGATAGGCACCTGGGGCTCGTTTTCCTCGAGTAAACGGGTCGGGGCTTAAACGTGATCACTTCCATCCATTGTCAAGGTTAAGAAAGAGTGTAACTGTACCTCGCCTTCTTCTTGTGTCTTTATGAAGTGGTGCTTCGTAAAGTACAGGGACAACTTTATCTTCACCTTTGTACTTACTTACTTATGGAGCTGAGCCCTTCTTGAGGAACCGCCAAATCTGCAGCTACTCAAGAATTTTCCCAGCATTTTATGGAACCTGAATGTTCATTACCGCCTTCACAAGAGCTCTCCACTGGTCCCTATCCTGAGCCAGATCAATCCAAACCCTGTAAGGAACTTAAATGTAATGGTAAAATTGTATAATTATTGCTGAGGCCACAGAAAGAAGTCTCGGAGGTGATGGTCATTGTGTGGCTCTGAAGGCTTCACTCTCTGCCTATCGTAAACAGTAGAAGGAACGCAGGAAAGGATACCGAAACGTAAAAAAGGTGGATAAATGAGCGGAGAGGGCATGCAGCATGTTAACGTATAAAGGGAGAGAAGAATTAGTAGAGCAGATATGTAGATTGAATCAAGGAAAAAATGTGAAACACATTCGAGTCTGAGAAACATGACATAAGTAAATAATGAAGATGTAATAAGGAGAAGAATATGTAGAGTTACTACATAGAGCAATAGGCCTAATGGCAATTCATTTCATTTATTGAAGTACCTGATGACAGCAAGATAGCCATTTAAGTCAGCTTTGAAAAGGAGATTAGGTGAAGGAAATGCAGTTAATAGAACAAAACAAAATAGTAATTACAAATAATATAAAAATAATGTAAAATATATAAAATAAAACAGAAATGATGTTCTTGTCTGGTAGCTTGAATTGATTGCCGGTTGTCTGTTGGAAGTTTCTGTTTTTGATAGACTTATTCCGAAAATTGTGACAAAGGTCGGAACAAATTTGACAACAGTGAAATTTAGTTTTTGTTTAGCTTTTTTATCCGTTTCCATTCTACAAATGATTATTCTTACTGAGAACCAGTGGCCACTGTTCTTCTGTACATCTTCGCCATTCGTGATGTAAGTGTAAGACATTTTGGTGCCGTCGACAAGTCAGATCGGCTATTTACATTTTGCATAAAAGGCAGTGGAAAATACAAAAAAATGAAGGCGTATATTTCCATAATTACTCTAAGCATGATTGGTTTCAAATATTCCTCTTTCGAAGTGGGGCCCTCTTTCAGAGAAGTCGACTGTTGGACAAGGCCGACATGTAAACGCTTAGCTCTACAGACTGTTTCGAGCAGTCACTGTTATTTCTAATCTTGGGTGTACTATTTGAGAACATTCCAGAATATATGATCCACCCACTTTACCAAGAATGCACGTAGAAAATTGTATGACATCAGAACTTCGCACTTTGTCAGAATCAGATTAAGACTTCCTGGTTTCCGACTTTCTCGACTGGTGACAAACTCGGGTCCGCCTACGACTTGGTTGCGACATCTTGCGGTGTTCCATAGCTAGGGTGTGGCATTTTGTCCATTCAGTTTTTCCCATACTTCTCCTTCGCTAGGAAACTGCAGTAACATGCGTTTCGCCATAGTGTGTAACACGTACATAGGATTCCCTCCCCGCCTGGCATTTGTTCGCGTAAGATCTGAGGTTTTCACAGCGGTGACTATGAAGAAAGCAGTCTTCTGGGATGTGGCACCGTGTAGATGTGGTGTTAACCGATGTTTCGGAGGAACGTATTGCCTCCATCTTCAAGGTAGAAGGAAAAATAAGAAATCCGCAAGCGAAGAGACCGTGAGAACCGGTATAAACAGACTGTTTCTACCCTGAAGATTGAGGCGATACGTTCCTCTGAAACGTCGGTTAACACCACATATACACGGTGACACATCCCAGAAGACTGCTTTATACATATGTACTTCACATGGCAGTGTTACACAGGAAATAGATCCATTTCAATCCTTTCAAACTTGAACTTCGTCTAAATAATAATTAAATTTCAATTCCTATCACAGAGAAACGCCCCCATTACAAGAATTAGCCACCATATGCTGTTTAGGAAACAATCGCTGTTTGTTCTGATAATCGCCCGAAACTTACAAATACAATTCTATGAATAAAATACACAACTTATAAAGCTAAAACAGATGGTGCAATTTATTGCCGCTTTGACTAAAATGTTAATTAATGGTATCTTTCAGAGGTCATCTCGAGCCTTCCATTTCATTGTATATAATCTTTATAGCTGATAAAATGTTGTTCGATAAATAAGCGACCTTTAATCTGTATCGCCTATGCCAGTCGCCGCGCGGTGTAAGACATGAACTGCCTTCGCTCGCTCGAACACTGGGGTCATGAGTTCGAATCCCACTCAATGCATGGATGTCTCTTTGCGTTCTTTCTGTGGTTGTGCTGTCCTCTGTAGGTAGCGGCCTTGCGACGGGCTGATCCCCCTTCCAAGGAATCCTACCGACTCTATTATGATTAAGAAACTGAAGTGAAACAAAGAGTTTCATGGATGTCACATGTTTTAAAGTGGGAACAAGTGTGAGAGGGAGAGAGAGAGAGAGAATCTGTAGCAGACGGCTAGACATTTTGAAATTTATTGTTACTACTGTCTCTTCTGTGCCATGGCGTCCGAAGTTAAAAACGTTGGTTTCGTAAAGTGTTATTTCAAACGAGTCAATTGAAAGTGAACTCAACATGACATAATAAAGGCGATTCCAAAACGACAAACGTTATGTGCAGGTGTTTCACTTCGAACGATCCTTACGCCCAATTATAAAAGTAAAGCTATCCCTGTAACAGGCCGTGAAAGCCCATAGGGTTGTGAGACGTTGAGGGTCCCACGTTATCTAGAAAATCGGCTTATAGATGGCGGTAAGGCTGTCAGCCTTACGCGCCGGCCACGCTTTACTCCCCAGGAAAATTATTTAATTAATTCCTGGTACTCATTTCTGAGGCTGAGTCGATCCCAGGGCCATAGTGCGGCCGGAAGGATTAGGTCAATTGGAAAAATCTAGTGACCTCATCGGGACTTGAACCCGCGACCTATCGACTTGTAGCGTAACCCCTCAACCAACTACGCTACCGCTCAATAATAGCACTTTCTAATGTGTAAATTCACATTTTGTACCTCGAAATATTTCATGACCTTCCAATCTTCAACCTTCCTACTCTAGCAGCCGTATTATCCAACATAATTATCCAATATGCTAATTTCAATAAACATTTCATATACATCGTAAAAGAAAAATTAATAAACGAACTATATTAATTGTTTGAGCCAATTCCATAACGCTGCTCTCACATTCTAGGGCTATTTCGGTACAGAAGTGAATAAACAAATCGTGTTTGTACTTGTCTATATAACTGATACATAACCACGGCTTAGAGAAATTTTCTGTCGCCAGCCCTGAATATCCAAACGCCAAAGATATGAAACAAAACTAAACAAATTAAATTTTCGCCAAACGTCTCATTTAGAGAAATTGTTAAAAAGAAGTCCCTGAAATATTCGTAGGAACATGAATCTTTGTTTCAAGATTAAATCTGAAGAAAGAAGAGCTATGAAGAAAGCAGTCTTCTGGGATTTGGCACCGTGTATAAGTGGTGTTAACCGACGTTTNTCGTCTCATGTTTATAAGCAGAAACACTCGTTCTTGGCCAGGGTCTGATTGTTTTCCTTGTCAGTTTCACAGTATATATAAGCTAAAGAATGAAAATTAGGAGCTTAAAGTTTACATGTGTAATTAGAAAGAAGATTGTGACTGATGATTTTAATCGCATCCTCAGCTCAACCGCAAAACTTGCCCATCACGCTACCCTCAAGGGCCTATCTAATTTTGTTCAACTCAGTAAAGATTTAAATTCATATACAGGCACTCGATTTAACAGCCATTCATATATTAGGCCTGTGTAGTGACAAGAGTATGGAGCCATTTTCATAACATCTTTGGAAATCTTCTGCTAGTTCCCCGGCAGGAAACGGCGAAG